TTTGCTTTATTTAATATAAGTTTGTATTTTCCATTAATCTTTTCTTAATCTCTCTTTTAATCATGATTAGCATCTTTTTCTCTTGTGATTTGGTGTTAAACATGGCTATTAGTGAGTAGTTTGCTTAGGGTTCTTAGATGTGGTAGATTAAGGGGATTTAGGGATTGATTAAGGTTTGTTTAGTGCTTAATAACATGGGTTCCTCTCTATTGATCTGTTCTTAAGCTAGATTTGTCTTTATCACAGTTATCTAGGATTTAGGCTTTCTCTTATGTCCACCAAGTGTTTGATGAAATGCTGATCTTGTTTGATAGAGGATTTGCTGGCCTTGCCTCAAGAGATTGACTGTTTGAGGAGCATTTTGACATGAATAGAGTTGATTATTAATGCTTTTTGAATGTTTTAGCACTAATGAGAGTTAGTTATTGTTAAGGTGTTTAGCAAAGGGATATTTATCAAGAGATTGGACTTAGCTTGCTTGTTTGTGAACTCTATGTCTAGGAACCACCATTGCTAGCTTCTTTGCTTGATCAATGATGCTTGAAACAACCTTAGTTAGTCTTTGAATCACCCAAAATTAATAACCATATCTAGGAACTTGCTTTCTCTTTGTTGAATTTCGAATTTGTTTAAGTGCTCTGTTTATTTACTCTATCTTGTTTCTTTGATCATTGCTAAACTGTCTCTTTTTTAGTTATCTTTGGTTATTGATCACTTTAGGTTGTTAGTTCAGTTTCTTAGGCAACAAAAACCTCTTTGCTTGCTTGACTTAAGGACTTCTGCTTGCAACTCTTTTGTATTCAACAACTCCCCATGGATTCATAAAACTCAATACTGCAATGACTAGTGTAGGTTGAAGATTGAGATAGCCCAAAACCTATCATCAAGCACAGATTGAGATTCCAATAGTGGAGACTCCGATGGTAGCACGAAATACAATTCATGTGAGGATTAATACTATGGAGGTTTTGACATGTCAAATGGATGGCTCATGGAAACTTTCATCACCTAATGCAGGCTTAGATTGGTTATGTCAAAGAATTGGAGGGATGAGTACTCTAATGGGGGCACGAAATGTGCGGCAGAGTTAATCGCTGTTACATACAAAATTAAAAGTCTTGATTTGTGCAATGTATTGCATGCTTGATCATAGGAGATTGGAGTTGACTTTTCTTACAGACTGTTCCGAATTGGTGAAGATGGTGCCTAACCCAACGGAGTGGCCAGCTTTCACTTTACACTTGGAGGAATATGAGACCAGCAAAAATGAGTTTTTCTCCTTTTCGATACTTCAGATATCGCGCGTGTTGAACACGAAGGCAGACAAGTTAGTACGAAGTATACGAGAATACATTCAACATCTATATTATGTGAACTCAATCTCACCGATTTTGCTTGCTGAGATATTTTAGGTTTTGAAGCTGTTAACAAAAAAAAAAAAAAATGCATCAAGTTTATTCACCTCAATCACAAGAAATGTGAACAGTGTGAATATCAAAATTCACTCACCTTGCTTTTTTTTTTAGAGTCATTTATTTAAATAGTTCATTTGACAATTTAATATGAAAAGAGAATCTTTTTATAAAAAACTGTAAGAAAAATATACTAATGTGCTTTCAATTTGCTATTTATTTATATTTAATTTATTATAAGTAGATATTCAATCTAATTTTAATTGTATAATCAATTAGTCTGTCACTAGTTTACATATCAAAATAGCTAAAAAGATAACATTAGTATTTATAAAATATTTCTTATAAAATAATATTTATAATTTTTTCTCAAATAAATCTGTATTTTATATTATTTTTCTATTGTGTATCATTTTTTAATCTTATTTCCTCTTTTTGTTTTTGGGATAATGTTTTATCATTCGTTAGATAAGTTTCAATTAATTAATTAATATATAATTAAACTTAATTTTTGTTATTTTATTCTTTTGACATATATTAAAAAAATTAATAAAAAATTATTTTACTATTTCTAAATATATTAAATAAATTTTTAAATCTTTTAACCACCATTTTATTATATAAAGTTGGATGCATCAAAGTTAGTAATTCACAAGATCGTGACACATGGCAAGTTAATCGATTAGAATTAGATATATGTAACGATAAAATTAAAAATAAATATAAATTTAGGTAATATCACTATTGTTAAAAAAAAGTAAATAAGAAAATATAACCACCACAATATCTAAAAAAAATATTTCAATTAAGAAAAAGAAATGTTTTTCAAAAAAAAAGTAGAAACTAATCCTAAAAAAAAAAAGAAAAATATTACTCGCATCTTTATAAACATATAAAATCTCTTATATATTTATCAGGCTGATTTTTCTCTTAGACTCGAATCAAACGAATAAGATGAGAAACTGATGAATTAACGAAAAACAATAAGAATGCAGAAGCATAATAAAAGAGAAAGCCAATTTTTCTTTGAAATGTAGCAAATTTTATATATTGGTAATTCACATGATCATGATATATATAATTTTTTTTATTAAGATTTTGCTAAGTGTCACGATTAAATTATTCCTAAAATATAAATTTAAGAAATTTCATAATTATTAAAAAATAAGAAATAAAATAAAACTACGATAATATCTAAAAAATGAATATATTAGAAAAATGATGTATTTCAACTAAAAAAGGGAAAACAGTTTAAAAAATGTAAAGATAACCCTAAAAGAAAATGGAAATTATTACTCACATCTTCATAAATACATAAAAACATTAAGAATATTTCTAGGGTGATTCTCGTTTAAACTCGAATCAATTGGATAAGATGAAAAATTAATGAAGCGATGAAAAATATTCAGAATTACAGAAGCAAAATGAAGGAGAAAGCTAATTTTACTATGATACCATTTTACCAAATAAGATTTTCGATGAGAGTTTGTTAGAGAAAAATCATATTTGTGAAAATATAAAAGTAATTACAGAATGAAAGAGAAAACCAATTTCTTTAATTAGTTTTATTATAAGTGATTTTGCGAAAATGTTCTCAATCTTATGTTTCGATGTTCACAGTGATCTAATTTTGCTTTATACTTTTTCATGTTCATTTACATTTGTAAAAAATATAAAAGAAAACATAAAATGAAAGAAAAAGTCAATTTTTAATCAGTTTTATTATAAGTGGTTTTACGAAACTTTTCTACATACCTTACCTTTTTAACTTTTACAATGATCTAATTTTGTTTTCTACTTTTCATGTTAGTTATATTTGTGAAAAATATAAAAGTAAACATGGAACAAAGGAGAAAGCTAGTTTTTTCACTCAGTTCTATTATAAGTAGTTTTGCAAAAATATTTTTAATCGTAATTTTTAATGTTCACAATGATCTAATTTTGTTTTTTACTTTTTTTATATTCAGTTTTTTTAAAGGGTATGTAATAGTTAATATAAATTAGTGTATATAAGGATCACAGTCTATGTTAAAATAATTGAAATGTATGTGAGTCAATTCATCAAAATTTACTATATGTAACACATTTTAACTAACAAAAAGTCGAATATGAATATAGAAATAAATATAATTATAATCATGTATTTTTATTTTCATTTTAGTATTTAGAAGTTTTAAAATAAATTTCAAAGTGTGTATACAAGGGCCATAATCTAGTCATATAATAATTAATATAATAAAATTAAAACTGGATTTTTGTGTAAAAATTTGTATTTAAAATATAAAATCACACTATTTATTAAAAAATTAAAAGAATACTCTTTGTCAAATGTATGAAGTATATAATTAAAATCAGTTGTTGTTAATGGTTTAAAGACAACTATCCTAATTAAAATCAAAAGTCTCCAATCAATGAAAAAAATACCAAAAAATATAAAACGAAAACCACCAAAGCATAAAACACAAAATAGTTATACAAGTGTAGGCAAAAACACTAGTTTAATGAAACAAAAACATTACCCCATTTAGTTAAATAACTTTATTTTTTATTTTTATGGTTTTAAAAAAAAAATATGTGGGATCATATTAATTTTACTTAGAAAAATATTATATTTTCGAAATTTGATGATGTCAGCTGACTCCCTCCTCTCTCCCTGCCTCTGCCCCTGACCGCATCAATAATTCACTGTGGCCACCGATCCTGTGTGAACCGCGACCTCCGATCAGAACAACCTCCATCTGCGCTTCCGAATTTACTAAGATGAGGATCCATATGGCGATTTCGTAGTAATAGCAGTAAAGCTTTTACTGACTTTTGAGACAACTGTTGAATCTCATTGGATCTGATTGATGTGTATTAGTAGAATTGAGAGAAATTGAGAAGAATGTAATTGAGGAGAAAAGAAAAGTAATAATTAGAAGAATTGAGAAGAATATGAAAAAAAAAAATTAACTTGAATGGTAATAATGAGATTAATTGGGAGGAATTGAGAGGAAGTAGAAGTAAGTGAGAGTAATTGAATAAAAGATATTAATTTAATTTTAGTTTAAAATAATAAAATCAAAAACAGGTGTGAGTTTATAAAAAAAAATTAAAGAACTAAAATATAATGAAAACCTTTCTGAAATTATACAATACAATACTTGTCAAAAAACCTTTGTTCCAAACCGATTACATGAGAAGAAGAGTGATGAATGATCTATCTATACATGCAATACTCATTGTGTAATGATAAATATATTAAAAAAATATTTTATGTGTCTTGAATGTGTGTTTGTAGATAGAGTCAATTATCGAACTTGATTAGAGTAGAAAACAGTTTTCCACCAGTTTTAGAAGATAACTTTTTTTCTGACTGGTGTACTTTTCAAAATTATTAGAAGAAATATTTTTCTTACTTTTTCTTTTCCTCTATAAGATACAACCAGTCACACCATTGTGTTTTTTTTTTGTCAATTAATTCAATCTGTATTTATGGATTGACGAATTTTGAAATTTATCTGTTTTGTTAGAAGAAAACCAAGATCAGTTACAGATTTATGTTACCAAAGACACTAAATTTTTAATTTTATACACTAAATTAACTTAATTCCAAGCAAATTGAAACTGAATGATCTTTAAGTTAGATTGTATACGCAAGAACAATTCTCAAGGATAAACAGAAAAAGCACGCAAATGTGAAGCATAGGATTAAAACATAAGTCGAACGAAAGTTTTATAATCCCCAAAATTTTGCAAAAACAAAAGTCATCATCCTGCATAAGGTAAAAGCAGCGCAAAAGCATGGAACCTAAAAGTTGATGATAGCAGTAGTAATGATAATAATAGCAAAAGACAATCAACGGTAACGACGAAGGGAAAGAGAGTTGTTCTTCTTCCATGTTGCTCTGCGAGACGGGCGGTTCTTGTGGTTCCTGTGACCCTTTCCTCGAAGTCCTCTGTTCTTCTTTCCCTCAGAGGTAAGTCCTCTGAGCTCACGGTGTTTATGCACCGGGTTGCAGATCCAGTTGATCCTCGGGTCGTTACGCACAGCGTTGTGTGCTGGGTCAACCAAGATGATCTCGTAGTACTTGTAGGTCGAATCCTGATTCAACACTTGCCAAGTTAATATCTTGATTGTCCAAGATAATCAAGATCGAGAGAGAGATAGTAATAATACCTCGTTGAGCCAGTAGGAGTTGACGACTCTGAGGCCGCCCAATTTCCTTCCGGCACGCTCCTCAGCGACAGACCGCTTGCTCCTCTGGAACTTGAGTTGGGTTACTCCCTGGTTTGTTGGTTTCCCATACACAATACCCTTTGGCACTGGCCTCTTGCGTCCACCACGCCTCACACGGACACGGTACACCACAAAGCCCTGACATACATTTTAACATCCCAACTACAGGTTAGGCACAGCGTTCGAGGCTAGAGAATAACAGAATGTAACAAGAGCTAGATCTTTCAGATAAGTGTGTATTTTTCATATAGATTGAATCATGAACAAGCACAATTTTCTAAACAAGAAATGTGTGTTACAAGAAATCACATAACTAGCAACGCTTCTATATCTCTCTACTACGCCAAAAACACCAAAATCAAGCAACTTAGGCTAGATTATATGTACAAAACAATCTCAGTATCTACAATTCAAGACCTCATTTAACCAATAGAAATCATGTTCTACGAGCTAAGATCAAGGTTAATCAAACTCAGGGAACTCAAAACAGACGATCAATTAGGGATCAATCACCTGCTTGGCCTTGTAACCCAAACGACGAGCCTTGTCGGGACGAGTAGGCCTGACGAGACGGACAATCGAAGGTTGCTGTCTGTACTCCCAGCACCTCACCCTCTGCAGGAACCTCATGACATCAGACTGCTTCTTCCTCCATAGCTCCGATACGTACTTGTAGGCACCTAAGGTTTACCAAAATCCATCGAATCAATCAGCAAAATAGTGGGAAAATAGTTCGCATGAACAGATCCATAACACATACATCATTTGAACAACAACAAGAGATGCTAAATCGATATGAGAGATCATGAGAATGGATCCCTAGGCGAAAGATGAGAAGAAGATTTACCCATTTTTCAAGTTTCGCAGAGCCGCACAGCACCGGCGCAATGGAGTGTTCGTCCCTGAATATAAAGTAAAGGGATTAGGGTTTTTCCTCCAATGAAATTTTATATACAAGAGATATTGGGCCCATTGTGAACCCATTGTGAACCCATTTTATATGGGTTTCGAGCTTCTATTAAGGCCTTATTTTCTTGCTGATTAATTGGGTTTGAATTTATAAAGCCGCCCACAACCCTGCTAGTATAAAATAAACTAGGTAGTTGGTCCGCATATATGTGCAAGTATAATTTGTTTGATATATATAGTTAATTGTAATATTTAAATTTTAAATATTTGTATATTTATATATATATATATATATTATTTTAATATTTCACAAACTTCTTTCTGAAATCAATGTATTTTAAATTTTTTATTTTTATAATGTTTGTAATAGTATATAATCACAAATATAAAAGTTATGTTAAATAATAATTAAATTCTTATAATATTAATATGCTTTATTTCTCTTTACATAATCTACAATATGATTTTTTGCGTCTTATATAATATGAGTTTGTAAATATATATAATATATTTTAAGTATATATTTTTGTTGATTTATTGCAAATTAAACTGAAATAGTTTTTACCATTTTTACTTATTCCTAAGAGCGGATAGATGGTTGGCATGCATGTGCGGACATACCAATCACTTTACTACACTTAGAATAATAAAGATTTTTTTAAAAATATAAATTGGATAATAATTAAAATAAAAATTAGACTGTAATCAATCTTAACAAAATACATGCACAAAAAAGTTCACATGTGACTTCAAATAATGTACAACTAATATTTATATATGTACGCGTATTTGTAAAAAAATTGAAATATGGCTCTTACGTGTTAAATTTTTTTAAGTGACTATGTAAAACAAAGGGCGAGAGATTTATTTGTATATACTTCTATTTTTATCTCTTATCCATATTGTTTTATCTTATTATAATTTATTCTTTCGTTTGGTTATTTTTCAATTCATTTATGATCTCAAAAAAATTATGTATATATATATATTAATATGATATAAAATTTTATTTTTATTTAAAATATGATAAGAGATAAGATGAGATGGTAACATAAGTTATGCACATTTTAGAAAACAACAATAAAAAGATAATAAAAGTTATAGAAAAATATATTGTCCTATTAATATTATAAAATAATAATTAGTATATACTTTATTCATTTAGTAAATATTGGTTTGAATTTTTTTTTTTAAATTACGTTTTTAAAAAAAAAAAATCAATAAAAGTTATTTATTTTTATTATTTTTAACATTTTATTCTTTAAATTATTTTTATCATGATTGTATTTTATTTAAAATTGTATTATTTAATAATTTGTTTATTTAAAACTTTTTTAGATTTAATTAATAAGTTTCCAAAATAAAAATATATCATACTTAAAGTATTATTAATAAATAGAATTTTTACTATTCTATTGGATAATTTAATATTATTTTTTTATTTTTATATAAAATTATAATATATATAATATATATATTGTTGAAAAAATTTCGTAATTATTTTTTATGAAATTATGAATATATGTAAAAAATTAAAATTATAATAGCTTTTATTTTCTGTTAATTTAAATTTGTTAATTTTAGTGTTATAAATATAATTTAGTTTATTTATGTTTTAATTCCACAATTTCTATAATTTCAATTCAACCAATCAAAATATTTTGTTTATTTTAGAAAGTTTGACATGTCACATTTACATGTCATCAATTAAAAATACTAACTTTGATTGTAGTGTTGACAAGTAAGCAATTTTCAATAATGTTACTTCTCAAATAATATGTAATGGATTTAATTTCTCCGGAAAGTAGTGGCAAAATTCTCTGAAAGAAAGTCAAAAAAAGAAATTTTCCTTTTTGACTTTCAAGTTTTAAGGCTCTAGGAATATGAACTATTGGACACAAACAATTTTTCCGTCAATTGGCACAATAGTGAACTATTTGCTCATATGATTGACATTGGGTATTACATGTTAATGCTGAAAAAAGTGTTTTATATTAAAATTTATTCTAATAAAATAAGGTTTTTTTCAAAAACAGTTGTGATATGCAGCTAAGTGGCATCTAAAAACTAACATGTGTCACTTTTTGTATTATTTTTATAGAATTCTCTTTTATAAAACAAACACAAAAACAAAACTTCAGTTTTTTTTCTTTCCCCAAACTATTTTCGTTCATCTAATAAATAGAAACAAAAATCAAATCACTCAAATAAATCTTATATAATATAGTAATGTCAAGTATTTTTTTCTATCTATATTATATTCTCTTTCATGGAACAAACACATACACAACGCTTATGTATTTTTTCTTCTTCTCAAGACGATTTTCTTTTATTATGACTCTTACTTCACATTATTTTTTTTAAAAAAATTAACTTTTTAACTTTTAAGAGCTGGCTGTGGTATTTTTTTGTGTGGCAAATATATTTATTTCTTTATATTTTCTTTGTAGTCAATCGAAACTGACATGTGTCATTTTTAAATCACTCAAATAAATTTTATATAATATAGTAAGGTCGTGTGTCTTTTTTTCTATCTCTATTGAATTCTCTTTCATTAAACAAACACAAAATAAAGCTTTGGTTTTTTTCTCTTCTACAAACGATTATTTTTCATCCAAAAAATAAAAACGAAAAACAAATCACTTAAACAATCTTATATAATATAGTAAGATCACGTGTCACTTTTTCTCTTTTTCTTTTTTTTTCTTCTCAACACTTTCTATTTCATTATGTCTCTTACTTCACATTATTTAAATTACTAGATTCTCTTTCATCGAACTAACACAAAAACAAAAGTATCAGTTTTTTTTTTTGAACTTTTAAAAGCTGATGACTACATCATTGTTTCTGCCCGGGAAATAGACTCATTTCTTCATGTTATTTTTGTGGCCAATCAAACAGAAAATCATGCACTATTTGCTTTCATAATAGTTTTTTACATCAATGGCTCACTACTTCATTCTCTGCTGTATCGAATCTCAAACCGCCACCACTATTACTGTATGAATTCTACTTGAGGACTTTCTTTTCGACCATCCTTGATGACAGCTTCACTCCCCTAATAGGGTCAATCCTAATATTATTATTTCACTAATCTTTTACAAAATTAAAATGGTATTTACAGTTTAGAAACTAATATTTACTGATAAATTTTTAATAATAAGATAATAAAATAGATTGTAAAATTCAAATAGTCAATATATCACAAATCTGCGTGTTGCGCAAACCTTCTCCTAGTTGTATATATATAAATAAGGAATCATATACATGAGTAAGGGTCAACCCTCTCCCACTTTGTGACACATCAGCATAGAAGAGAAGAACACGTGTACACTTCATTAGCTTTCTTTTTTAAATTGCCAGCTTAATATCTAGTCATTAACATTCACAAACTCACGGCCCGATCCAATCGACCTTTCATCTTCTTCTGCTTTTTTTTCCTTTTCCTTTTCTTTTCCTCACACGCATGAACACTTAGCTACTCACCTTCCTCTCTACAGAAAATCTAGATTAGTACCCGCGGATATGTACAGGTTTTGCATCATATTAGTACCAGCGCATGACGCCTTCGATTAGCATTGTTTCATTTTCCAGTGATTTCTCAGTTTGAAACTATAGCTTTGTCGATTTATTGTAGTTACCTTGCTAGTTGTTTCCATGACGCATTTGATTAGCATTGTTTCATTTTCCAATGATTTCTCCAGTATATGCATTGACGTCTTAATATTATTTTCATATGCATATTACTAATTTTTACTCTCTATTTGACCACAAATTACTCATACTCATTGTTTTCTCTCATACTCATCATACCCATAATTATACAAGGAAAGTTCTCTCCACACTATCACTCACCATTCTTCTTCTTCCATTCGTCTCAATGTGTTGTTTTGATCCTTATGGGTTTGACAAACATAGTCATAACTATTTTGCTTTTTTTTGTCAATATTAGAGATGGAAACAAATTAGAAATGTGTACGGTTTTTACCTTTATCACTGCCACTGAATTCATAATTATAATCTTCTTGATCGATTAAAGATTTTTACCAAAGGAGGCTTCACAGTAGCATAAAGAGGAGCAATGTCAATATTCTATTAAAGATGAGCAAGAGGCAGCTTCTACGTTGAAAACGGTTTATAAATAACTCATTTCTGGTGATTCATGATTGATTCTGTCAGAAATCTAATCTTTGAACCGACTCACTTCCTTGACTCTGGCAACAAAAATTTAGCCACAAGGGTTTCGTTTACTCGGATTTTGTTCAACAGAACCCGCATTTTAACCTTTGTAGTGAGTTCATTACTTAGCATCTGTCACATGTTCGCCATTCTTCAGGTCATCGAACGCCACATCATCATCATTGGTTGCACTGATTCATCCTAAGCGCACATGGGCGAAGCTGTGAAGTGAGAATTCTTTAGCCAGTAGCCTTGGAAAAGAGGCACTTTAGCGCTCTCTTTAAACACTGGTCTTATGTCGCTTGAAGAGCTAATTAACGGTTTTTGGAGAGTTGAACATACAAGGGGGTTGAATGATATGTAGTTTTTTAACGTTTTCACGTTTTGAAAACGTGATTCCACTAAATACATATCATTCCAATATTAAGCACTGAATGATAAAAAGTGAAAAGTAGCACGCTATTTTCTAAACCATCCCGCACGTTTTAAATTTATAACGAGTTTGGAGAAAAAATCATTTATCTAATATATAATGGGTTTGACTGGTAAGTTAACTTAATACCAGAATAGCTGAATAATAAACTAGTAGAATCAATATGATGAGTAAACTGAAAATTGAATAAACTCAAAACGCTAAAAAGCTTGTATCTACTAGATGAATGAATTTTCTCTAAACTAGTTATAAATTTAAAACGTGCAGAATGATTTGAAAAATGGCGTGCTTATTTTTATTTTTTATCATTCATTGCTTAATATTGTGAATGGTATATATTTAGTGAAATCATGTTCAAAACGTGAAAAAGCTATATACCATTCAATTCCACTATCTTTTTAGCGTTTTGAGTGTATTCAGTTTTCAGT